CCGCCCCCAGGGAGTGAGAGAAACTTATTGCTGTGTCGATGTTGGGGAGGGGGAGCCGCTGAGCTCGGGAAGACCCCCGCCATTCCTGCCTCCCCGATCGCCCCGCCCCCGGCCCCGTGTCCGTGCGTTCCCGGAGCGCGGGAGGCGCGCGCCATGCGTGTGGGGAGCGCATCATGCAGCGCATGCGTGTAGCTGCGGGCACCCTGGCGGCCGGGGTGGGAGGGCGGCAAAAAGGGGGGCGGGGCTTGGGAGTCGTCGTCCCTTTAGCTCGCTCTCTCTCCCTCCCCGAAGCCCCACACCTTTTGTTGATTTGGGGGATGAGAATCACGTTTTGTAGAGGTTTATAATGATCATGGTTCTTTTTAAAAGCTGAACTAAAAAGCCGGGCATGTGTGGCAGATTGGTGAGCAGGGGGGAGACGTTGGGAAGAGGTCTGTACCCTTTGGAAAAGATCCTCGCTCCCCCTTCCCGCACCGTTCGGAATCTGGGGGGCTTTTATTTTTTTTAAAGAAGTTAAACCCTTTGGCAATATAATCGATCCCCAACCCCATCCCCTGGTGTCTGGAGCCCCTAGCCCTTTGCCCAGCCCCGCCCCACCCCCACAGAACCCACCCCACCCCTCACCCCTGATTCACCAGGGTTTAGGGTCTAAGGGAAGGATGGGGGGGACTCAAAATACCCCTTGCATAGGAATCGTTGCATCAAGGATCACGCTCAGTGACACCCCCTCCCCAACCCTCGGGTGGGGGTAGGGGGCGTTCCTGAGGCTGCGGGAGCAAAGGAGGAAAGTTGCTTTCTGTGGGCCCCCACCTCCAAAGGGGGGGGTCCTGTAAGGATTCTGGGACCAGCGTGGTCTCCGAGCTTGGGGGAGGTAGCGCATCATGAGCCAGGATGAGATATGAGAAGTGATTTTCCACCCGCGAGGACGCAGGTAGAGGAACGCTGGGGAAGGGTGGGCCGGGGTTCCAGCCCAGGTGGTTAGGGCATTTCCCAGTGTCCCTTTATTTGGGCCCAGCCTCTACTTTAAATGGAGACAGTTCTCATCTAAATAAATGGCATCAGTATCTGGACTTACCGGCTCGGGTGCCAAGTGCCACAAAAGACAAAACTTTTAAAAGTGTCCTTGTACTGCCTACAACCTCGGCACATCACCAGGGGGCACAAATATGACCCTCTGGGAAAAACTGGTGTCCGTGAAGAGGGTACCTTATGGGCACCATTTAAGAGCAGGGGCTCTTGGGGGGCAGGGTTGGGCATACGAAAGGGGGTGCCCTGGGAAGGTCTGGTTCCCTGGAATCGCAGACAGGTTGAGCCCAACTTGGAAACTCGAACGGCAGGGGAACCTGAGGTGGATGTCTGATGTCAGAGATTTGGCGGTGTCTCGGGGAATCGAGGCCTGAGGTTTGGGGGTGTCCAGGGAATGTCTGTGTCTCGGAAGGGTTTGGAGCATCCCAAAGGCTGAACGTGAGCTGCAGGGCTGGGTCGAGTGTGAGATGCACTCCAGGGGGTCTGCGGGCAGCACGTGTGTTTGGAGGTTAAGTTCCAGGAGTGTGAGTGTGGGGAGATGTGGGGTGCCACGGTCAGCGTGGAAACTCGGCGTGCGTCTCACGTCCTGGGATTCTGGAGGGGGTGCTGGGGAATGCCGTGTGCTAGGGCCAGGCCATCCTGGGGCTTCTGGGATGGGAGGTCTGACTCCATGCTGAGGCGATCAGATGGGGGTGTGTGTGAAAAGGTACAATTCCCCAGAGAGATCCTGCTGAGAGGCGAGGGAACAGCTGTCCGCAGCTCCCCCAACGCCCTCCTACCGTCTGAGCTCACCTTGGGTTTTTGGCTTGGGTGACTGACTGGTCCTCCTTCCCCCACACTGTCGATAATTATATTTTAATCAATGTATGATGGGTTGCCCTCCTGTGGTGAAGGGTAGGGGCCAGGAGACCCTCCAGTAACGGGAGGGCTGGCCTGGCCCCCCTTGAGGTCCTGGCCCCTTCCCACAGTGCCCCGTCCCTCATTGTGGCGTGCAGCCCCTGGCACTTATTGCTGAGGTGGAGTGGAGGGTATGTCCAGGTTGCAGGAGGCATGCAGAGCAGGGGGGGGGGTGCCCCAAATGTAACTGGCATAATTTGGCCATATTTACACGAGTTGATGGGAAGGGGGTGTCCTATGGCTCATGGAGACCTGAGAAGGCTTTATTTTGGGGGCGCTGAGAGTCGGGGGCATGGGCTTTGGCTCCTCCCCCTCCATCCTGGGGGCCCAGGTGGGGATGAGGGGCCCAGGGGTGTCTGCTGGCATTGTCATCTCCATTGCATATTATTAATGACTTTTTGATTTTTTTATAAAACCCTTTCCCCCACCCCCCGCCCCCAGCTCCTTTGACCTTCTTCCCTGTCACCCCCAAGTCCCCCCACAGGGGGGAGGGGAGCGCTAGAGGATGGAGGGCAGGGTTGGGGGAGCACGGCGGGCTGCCCTGGGAGAGCCAGGGGGGGTGGCAAGGGGCGCGAGGCGCAGGGACACCCCGCTGAGGCCCGCGATGCTGCTCAGGCTGCGGGATTTCTCGTAACCTGGGGGCGGGGGAGGGGCGGAAACACGGGGAGGAAGCACGGGGAGGAGTTGGGGTGCAGAGGGAGGGTCCCACAGACAGAGACCCCGAGACAGAGAGAGGGAGGGAGGCAGGAGGGAAATGGCAGAAAGGACAGGAGACAGAGAAAGAGAAAGAGAGAGCCAGGAAGAGCAAGAGACAGGCGGAAAGAGAAGGCGGGAGATGCAGATGGTGAGGGACACAGAGGCGGCCGGTCACACGACGGGGCAAGAGGCAGAGACGGACAGAGGCGGACCAAGGGGACGGAGAGAGAGAAGTGAACAAATCGGACAGTCAGTCGCATCCAGGAGGAGGG